CAGGATTGGTCATCAACGAACGGCAACAAGCAATTGATGGTTGACAATCGACACAGTGGAGGGTTATTGATTTTTGGGTTTTTGAAATTTTTGATGGTGTAATTTTTGGATTTTAGAGTAAGGTTAGAGTATTTGCAATTTATAGGAAGATATAGAGAATGAAAAAAAAAAAAAAAAGAGAAAGAAAGATTATGCAAATTGCATTGTTTCGAAAAAAATAAAAGGAAAAAAAAAAAACAAAGAGGATCTAGAAGGCCACCAAAATTCTAAGTCATTGGATTTTTTTTGTTTTGGGCTAAAGCCCAAAGAATAAATTTGGTGTAATTTTTTTAAAATTATTTTTATTTTATTTTAGCAATAATAATAAAAATAAAAGGTTTATAGGATATTTAATTTTAATATGACAATTTGATACTTATTAATAATAAAAATAAAAAATATTTTTTCTAGTTAAAAAATATTTTTGACATTATATTTTAAATAATGGTTTTATTTGAAAATTATATTATTATTAAAAAGTTTAAACTACACCATTTAGGAAAAAATAAAAAAAAAAAAGCAAAAAGGATTTGAAGGATCACCCTAAATTTTAAGTCATTGAACCTTTGATACTTATTAATTATAAAAATAAAAGATTTTTTATTTGAAATTTGATACCATGAAATGATGGTTTTATTTGACAATTATATTATTATTAATAAGAAAATTTGATATATTTTGAAAATCATCAATAAAAATATACATTAAATTATACAATAAGGTCACATTTGGTGTATAGAATGATTAATAAGATAGGATGATACGAATCCTATATTATGTTTGATTTATATCTAACAAAAGAGATAGGGTTACAAGTAATATTAATTATCCTATTAGTATAAAATGAATCAATCCTCCAAAAGTGGAGAGAATTATTTTTAATCAATGAAATTTAACTTACATGTCCTATTATACTCTTAAAAATTATATCAATAATTTAAATTGTATAAACTTTTAGGAAGGATAATTTTGACCAATAAACAAATTATCCTATCTTAATTCTTGCATATATCAAATACAAAATAAGTTGATATTATTTAATCTAATCCTATTTATAATATCATCTTATCATGTCCTATTATTATCTTATGTACCAAACATATTATAAATTATAAATATTTTAAATATATATAAATTAAACTTGCTTGTATTCTGTAATTAATAATAATTAATTTTAACTTTCAAAAGAGCAATAATTAACTCTTACAATTAATTAAATATAATTATATGAGTATTAATATGTATTAAACATAAAAATAAATATTATTTAAATCAATAGCTATTATTTAATATAATTTAATTTAAAATTATTTTAAAATATTAATTAAATCAATTAATATTGAAAAAAATTGAATATGAACATATAATGATGGCAACAAATAGGGCCACGTGAGTTTTTGCTTACCCTAACTTCGTAAAGCATATACCTACTTTGACCTAATTCAATATTAAAATATTTTAATATTATTTTTTAATATCCAACCCAATCAACATATGTATAAAATCGTAATAGACTTGACCTGATTTGAAATTTATTTAATCATTTTTATTTAATATAATATTTATAAAATATTATTTTTTAAATATAAATTACATTTTAATTATACGTAAATATAATATTTTTATTAAGTTAATATCTTAAATTAAAATATTAAATAATAATTTTATTAATATAATATATATAAATATAAAATAAATAAATAAATAAAATATTATATATATCGAGTCGGGCTAGAGCAGGTTTACCTAAAATCTGACATCGACTTTTTTTATAAAAAAAATCCAACTTAACCTAGCCCAAGATCCAATTAAAAAAATATCGACACTATAGGTTTGGTTAGGTCAAAACCCGACGGGTTCGAGCCTATTTGCCATCCTTAGGAGCATATCACCTATAATTATTATGTTAAAGTTAATCAATCATAATTTAAATTAGTTGTAGTCTATCAAAATTTTATATGAAATGTACACTTATAAGTGGTGAATTTTTATATAATTTTTAAATTTAATTAAAAAATTATAAAATTATAATAAAAAAATTAGAAATGAAATGCTCCCGATAATATACAACAATATTCTAATAAAATTTTAAAGTTGCCACATAAAACTAGGGACAAAACAAAGGATAATCACAACCAAAAGACTATTGGCTTATCTATAATATAAATTTTATAAAGATTGGTGGAAATGGAGGATATCAACTTGCCACTTTTTTTTTAATTGGTTTTTTTTTTGGTTTTTGTTTACTTTTTAATTGCTTTTCTATTTTTGATATTTTAATTTATAGTATAAATTTTGTAAAGATTAGTGGAAATGGAATATGTCCACTTGGCACCTTTTTTTTTTAATTGGGTTTTTTTAACTTTCTAATTGTTTTTTTACTTTAATTTATTTATTACCCTTTTTTTAATTTTTTTTGTTTTAACTTTAAATTTTTTAATTAAATATATTTTGTAAAAAAAATCAATAAAAGTAATAACAAAACAATCCATATCATTTAAGTTTTATTTCAATCCAATCCAATGGGTTCACCTTTTAAAATTTCAAGATTTGATTGAGATTTTTTTTTTTTAAAACTTAAGGTCAGATTAAAAGTGGATTTAAGAGGTTATACACTAATATGAGAATATAATATATATATATATATATATTCTATTATCCATCCATCTATTTATAATATTAAAGTTGTAAATTTTAGAATAAATAAAAGGTATCCACGTAGCATCTCATTATTTCTCCAAAAATCTACTTCTACTAAGCATCTCTCTTTTTTTCTTTTTTTTAAGTGGTTTTTTTTATTGTTTTTTACTTTTTTATTTTTTGACTTTTAAAAAAAAAATTCTTTATTTTTTACTACTTTTCTTTTTTTTCTTTATTTTTTATGTTTTAACTTTAATTTTTTTATTAGATATATTTTGTAAAAAAAAAATGAAAGTAATGACAAACAATTTATATCAAATGAGTTTTTATTCACCCTAATAATTACACTTTTTTTTTTAAATTTCAAGATTTGATTGAGATTTTTTTCCTTTTCTAAAATTGGTGTCAGATCAAAAGTGAATTTAGAATATTTCAACCCCTTTGGGAATTATATAACAATATATTTTTATTATTTATCCATCCATTTATAACATTAAAGTTGCAGATTTGAAGAAAATAGATGACATGGCATATGGTTCCTCATCATTCCTTAAAGAAATTACTTATGTATTTATATTTTATTCTTTTTTTAACTTTTTTATTTGTTTTTTAATTTTATTTTATATTAGATAAATTTTGTAAAAAAGTCAATAAAGGTAGAGATAATAAAACAATCAATATTTGATTGATTTTAATTCTTATCAATCCAACATTTGTGCATTTAAAAAAAAATAAAATCAAGATCGGATCGGATCGAATTGAATATATTTTTTTTAAAATGAGATTAGAATGAAGATGGATTTAAGGTTTTCCATCCTATCTCAGATGTCCATGTGGAACGTCCCTTTTTTTAATTTTTTTTGTTTTGTAAAGTTTTTTATGTTTTGACTTTCCTTTTTTTTTCTTTGATTTTTATTAGAAAAATTTTGTAATAAAAAATTCAATTGAGATAGATGATAAAATAATTCGTATCTAATGTGTTTCAATTTACCTTGATCCTATTAGTGAATTTTTTTTTTTTAATTTGGGATCATTGGTCAGAGTTTTTTTTTCTTAAAATAGATCTTGGATAAAAATAAAGTTTTGAATGTTATGTCTCAGTCTTAAATATATAAAATATAAATTTTATTATTTATTTAATTTATATTTATATAATGTATTTTATTAAAAAAATTATTTAATACCTTGACATCATGTTTGGTATACAATATATGGTAAGATATAATAAGATGATATTATAAGTAGAATTAAATTAAATAATATCATTTTATCTTGTGTTTGATGTGTGCAATGATTAATATATGATAATTTATTTATTAGTTAAAATTATCTTTTTATACAATTTAAATTATTGATATAATTTTTAAGAGTATAATAAGATATATAAGTTTAATCATATGGATTAAAAATAAGCTTTTTCACTTTTGAAATATTGAATTATCATATACCAAAAACATAATAATCCTTCTTATAATCTTATTATTTTCTTTAAATATAAACCAAATATAATGAATTATCATTTTATTTTGTCAATTATCCTATTCATCAAACATAACACAATTGAATAAATTCACGTGTCAACTTATTTGACTTTTTTATCATCTTTTTATTTTTAAAAATGATTTTTTAGATAAATTTTATAAAAAAAAGAGTCATTAGATGTAAAAATGACAAAACAACTTACACCGTTTGGGTTTTGATTTATCACAATCTAATTTATATAACTATCTTTTTAAAAATAAAAATCGAGTTAAATTTTATCTTTTTAAATAATTTAGGTCAAATTAAAATCGAATTTAAAACATTTTATTCTGTCCCTATTGGGATATATAATATATTTTGTTATTTACTTAATTTACATTTAATAGATTATATTAATAAAGATATTATTTAATATTTTAATTTAATAAAAATTATATTTATATATAATTAAGTTATAATTTATATTAAAAAACTAAATACACTTATATTTATTTATATTTATCATTAATTAAAAATTTAACATAAAAATTTTAATTTTTTCATATTCAAAATATAATTCCACAACTAAGCTTAAGTTTAACTCTATTCATTTTTAATTTTTAGTAAATACAGTAATTTCAAACATAATATAATGATACGATAAGAAAATAATACAAATTAAAAATATAAAAATATCATGATTTAAAATTTTAACAAAAATCATAAATAAATTTAACAAAATTAAAAAATATATATTTCATAGTTTTTTATACAAATTATGAAATATAATTTTCATATAAAATATAATATAAATATATAAATATTTTATATTTTATATAATACAAATACGGTACAATTTTTTGCCCTAGCCAACAAAAATGTGTTGTCTCGTGGAGTAACAGACTTCAATGGGACTCCCTTTGTCTATCCAAACTCGTTAAAAACATAAGAAGTTGAGCGAGTGATGGTGTTAGGCTGTTAGCGTGGCGGCGGGCAAAGAAAGGGTGAAAGAAAAATGGGAAGAAGGGACAAGAAACAAAGGCACCAACAAAGAACCAGTCATAGGGGAGCCTCTTATTACACTGCCCAACATGATGATGATTATGAAGATGAAACCTACGCTTTTCAACAACCATCCCAAGATTCTGAAGAACAAGAGGAAGAAATAGAAGAAGAAGAACCAGAACATGAGGAAGAAGAAACTGACCCAAACCCATCAACGGAAATCCCATCAAAATTCCTTCTTTACCAACAATCTGTGCAGGTGATAGTCACCACCAAAATTTGATTTCTTTTGCTCTGTTTGGTTGCTGAGATAATTTTAAGAAATGGGTAAATAAGAAAAGTTTTGATTTTGTATTGTTGGCTTAATTCAGAAAAAGCCATAGTTAAATGCTTTATCAGCTTCTTGATTAAAAGTTTTTTTTCTTGCTTTAGAGTGGCTGATTAAAGGTGTTAGGTAACGGAAAGATTGGTTCTTTCTTTTTTGTATGTTAATTATATAATATATTTTATAATGAAGCAATGGTGTTTCGAGTGCAGTCACCAAAAGGAGATATAAGCTATTTGCAAAAGTTCTTTTTGATGTATGTGGGTGGAAGGTTGCCTCTGCATCTCCAAGAAGATTTCTGTGGCACTGCGCTTCTTAGGTATGTTTCCCTCTTGTTAGCAACATTTTCATAGCTAATGATCATCTTATTCATATATCTTAATCACTTGAATGCTGCAAATTAAGAAAATAGATTAAGAGACATACGAAGAAGTTGAGGCTGCTAATGAATTCTTCATCCATGTCAACCCAAGCTTTGCCATTGGAATATCGGTTTTGGTTTGATTTTGTACTTGTTGCTTGCTTCATGTCTTATTGAATTTAAGCTTATAGAGTTGGAGTTTCATCAAAAACCTATGTTATTAAATATGACAGAGAAAGAGGTCTCGCTCTATATGCTTTATGTTCAGATGTAAGGCAAAGGCAATATTGATTCCTGAAGCACCTGTGGTTCTTCTGTTCTTTAGTTCTGATAGTTTTTTAGTAATTAAAATGTTACTTTCTCCTTTATTCTGTCTGATAAGTTGCAATGTATGGATGACGCAGTTTGGTTAAAGAATAAATGGAAGCTTTGCTTGTGGATATTTTTGATAATGCATCAGGTTATTTGTACAATGTCCAAACTGGTATTGTCCACTCTGTTAACTTCTTTTATAATTAGCAATTCACATTGGCAACTGTAAAGTTAGCTTATCGATCTTGCCTATTTTTATGTTTATGATGCAATATGTGTTTCAGAATCTAATGTGGCGGTGGTTTTTTTTATTTTTTCTTCTTAAGGCAAAATGTTTGGTTGTTTGCAATGCAGAGTAGTCGAAAATACCAGCACTGAGAATTTACTCTGTTGTTTGGCAGTACGGAATGGCTCCGAAGTGATCCAAGGCGGACAGCTGTAGGATTGGATCTGGACCTTGAGGCATTACAATGGTGCCTGGAGAACAACATCAATAAAGTTGGAGCTGACTTGTATTCAAGAATATCCCTCTTTCATGGGAATGTCTTGAATCCTCACAAAGCAAAATTAGTCAGCTTCAAGCCCCAAGAGCTGATAAGGAACATTCAATTAGAGGAAAGTGATGATAATTCGAAGATTTCTGCAATAGAACCTAACATGCATGAGGGCTCTGCTGCTTCGTCTAATGAAGAGTCCATTAAGGCAGATTCTAAAATACCTGCAAGAGACATTATATGTGCTTTTAATTACAGTTGTTGTTGTCTCCATAGACGTGTCGAACTGGTTTTGTATTTCAAGCATGTTCTTGAAGCATTGTCTAAAAAGGGTGGTATATTTGTGATGGATTTATATGGTGGTACATCATCGGAGCAGTCCTTAAGACTTCAAAGGAGGTTTCCCAATTTTACGGTATAATCTTTCTGCCCATACGATCATGTTAATGCACAGTACTGTTTAAGGATTCACAGAAAAAAATAGCATATATCTTGTCTATCTTTCCATGGCATATTCAGGTTTAGAGGATTTAACTTCTATCAGGCATAACAAAAATACTGTTTTACTTCTATTTCTAGTTTAATTTCATTGGTGCAAAAGTGTGGCTCATCAATAAGCTGCAAGTTAAAGGTTTTAACTTTTAAATGAAGTAGAAAGATCTGTGTTTCCCTTTTGATGCCTTGAATAGTTCATTATATTGAACTCAATGTGTGCAGTATACTTGGGAGCAAGCTGAATTCGACATCATTGGGCGCAAAACAAGGATTAGTCTCCATTTTCATCTTCAGAAACAGAGGAAAAAACTCCAGCATGCATTTTCATATAGTTGGAGACTGTAAGTTATGTTAATTTCCCGTTATATTTTCTTGATTAAAAATGGCGCGTTGATGTCTGGGTTTCCTGGCTGCTTTAATAACTTCTCGTGAATGTGAAAACATGGTGGCTTACTTGTCCAGGTGGTCATTGCCGGAGATTAAAGACTGCTTAGAAGAGGCTGGATTTCGATCTGTCCATTTTTGGCTTCGAAAGATGCCAGATACCACTGAAAGCAGAAGTACAGAGGGATTCGGCATTGGGCGAGATGTGAAGTATGAAGAGGTCAAAAGTTTCCAACAAGAAGATGCTTGGAATGCATATATTGTCGCTGTAACGAAGTAGGACTCGAATTCTATCTTTTTCTACTTACTAAATCTTCAAGCTGCTCTGCTTCGAGTAGGAGAGAACAGTGTTTGACACTATGACTCCTGTTTCCATGGGTGTAAACTGGCATTTTGTTTGATGATTAAGCTTACAATTTTTTTTTCATACGAAAAGTTTTGTTAGATAAGATTTAGTGATTCGTGTATTTATTATCAATTAATTTCATATATTTTATGTTATATTTTATATAAAAATTATATATCACCATTAATGTAAATATAAAAATATAATTTTTTTTTATTTTGGTAAATTTTAAACTTCGTGGGACATGAATTAGAAATTTTAGCTTTCCAGTCAACGTGATTGGAAAGTAATTTTAAAGCGCGTTAAGAATCGCGTAGCTATTCTTGTGTGGTCCGCCATGACGTCCATGTGTAAGGAAAATCCGCGGCGGATGGTTCACACTATCACGGACACCAAGACTCATCACGGCGGCGCTACGAATGATGAAAGACGCAACTGATGACGTAATTTTCGTCACCCCAAAATTTAATGAGCTAACTCCTGTTACCATCCTTACCTCCTTGCTCGGTTACTCCTATCCAAAAGCACGGTTTAAGATTTCTCATTTGTCATTATCAAAAACGGGACCCAAATCCACATCAACGTTTCCTCATCTCCCACCACTTCATTTCCCTTCCGCCGTCTCAACTTTGGTCCAAATTGGTGTCTCATCTTAACCATAGATTTAAAAAATAATTTAAAAACGAAAGGAAAAAAATGCAAATTGAAATTAGCTTAATAGGTCAACAAAATGCAGTTGAGAGACCAAACATGCCCTTGACCCAGTATACAGTTTTGACAGTCAACAATATTCTACGGTCATTTTTAATCTCATCAAAATATTTATTTTCATCCTTAATACAATAATTAATCACATCACCACCGTTATTTTTAAACTTGTTAAAATTAATCTAACTGTTCATCACGTCAACTGCAAATAATATTATATTTAAAAAGGCAGAGCCACCACGAAATTGTGGCAATTGAATTAATATTTTGATAAAATTAAACTCAAACAAACCGCTTATTTAACGCGTAATTGTTAGCTCTAAAAAGGAAACCACATAGAAAAGGAAAAGAAGGTGTGTAGAATCTTCAACCAAAGAACAGGAATCCCTTCCTCTGCCTCTTATTTTTATCGGAGAGAGCGATTCCTTTTCTTCGTTGCCTTCCTTTTCCTCGTTTACTTTTTCATTTTTCTTCCCTTTTGATTTTAAGAAGAAATTAGATTTCGGCTTCGTTTCTTTGTTGATTCCCCTCTGAAACTCTTGTCTCAGGTAAATTTTCTTTTCAAAAAAAAAATTTCTATGGCTTTTAATTTGTTTTGTTTGATAAATTTATTTTAAATTTTTTCAGGTTTGAAAGAAAATTGAGAAAGATATGGCGGAAGAACACAGATGTCAAGCACCACAACTATGTGCAAACAACTGTGGATTTTTCGGAATCCCTACAACCCAAAATCTTTGTTCTAAATGTTACCGCGATCTCCAGCTTAAAGAACAACAGTCTTCCTCCGCCAAACAAGCCCTCAATCAAAGCCTCGTTCCTTCTTCTTCTTCTTCTTCTTCTTCATTAGCAGCGTCGTCATCGATCTCATCCTCGTTTTCCTTGTCCTTAGTGGCGAAGGAAGAATCATCGGCGGAAACGAAGGAAGAGGTGAAGGTGGAGGAGGTTCAAGTCAGGCCTAACAGATGTCTGGCTTGCAAGAAACGCGTGGGGCTCACGGGGTTCAAGTGCAGGTGTGGGATGGTTTTTTGTGGTACCCATAGGTACCCTGAACAGCATGGTTGTATGTTTGATTTCAAAGGGATGGGAAAAGAACAGATTGCCAAAGCTAATCCTGTTGTTAAGGGTGAAAAGCTTCAGAAAATATGAAGAAAAAGGGATTGTTTGTGATTGTGTTGTTAATTTGAGAATTTGGGTCATTGAAAAAAATATGAATTTAGTTTCATCCTCGGGCCTCGCCGGCGAAAGTGACGGTCAATCAGTAGGGTGTGGCTTAGTGCTGATTGTAGCCGGCGGTTGGCGCTTGTTGTTGGGTTGATGAATGTTAAAAAAAAAAAATCAATGGTATTTTAATTTAATGTGAAATGTTGAATTCCAATTGAATACTTTGTTGGTTTTTTCTGAGGATTAATCCAATAATGTCACAAATTTAGAAAGAAAACATTCCAATTATATTCGTATGACTGATTTGATTGATAATCCAATCCACCTAAGTTCTTCACTGTACACTCTGAAAGAAAGCAATCGGTCGTGTAAAATATAAAGTAATCACAAATTATGTAAAATATAAAATTAAGTCATAAATTATATTAATATATTGAATACGAAATATTTTTTTATTAAATTTATATATAAATTTTGTTAAAATTTTTAATTGTATCAATCAATATTTTTTATTATATTATATTTAAAATTATCAAATTTAATTAAAAAATAAATTTGAAAATAAATCATATGCTAATCCAATCCCATAAAAGACATTAGAACTTTCAAACATTGAGATATGATATTTGTCAATTCCATAAAAGACATTAAAACTTTAAATTAAGATATGATATTTGACAAATGGCAATGTCTTTAGGGACAATTAACTTTCGGTGGTAAAACCTCTTGCATTAGGATTGAGATGTTTCTAAATGTAGGAAGAGATACTAAGCATGTGGATGAGGGAAGAACAACAAGGTTGGATTTTTTCAGTTTCTTTTCCTAAAAATTGAGACAAAGACGTGTAGCATAAATCAAGATATTATAATCGGCATTCAAAATTGAAAATATCTTCTTCACCTAAATTTTGAACATATAATCTTTTTTTTTATTTTATAAATTAATGATTTATGATTAATTTTATGATTTTTTTTTAGTATAAACGTCAAGCATATAAGGTAATCTCTTATAAAATTATGCCTTTGCTATAATAAATTTTCTGTTAGTAAATTAATTTTTTTATGATCAATTTGATGATATTTATGATGCATAGAAATTACTGCCGCAACAATGCCTTTTTGAGATTGGAGCGTAATGATCTTGTCATCCTCTATGGCCTAATGGTTTCTTTTATTGCCATTTCTAGTTATCATATATGGGCATGGAAATTCGAAACCAACGACAAGCCTAAAGCAATTAGTGGGTTGGATCACGATGGGCCCTACGAAGCTCATGAATATTCTTTCCATGAGCATAAATCCCTATGGACATATTATATAATTAATTAACATTCCATATTTATAAGCATTTTAGTATTCGAAGGCTAAAATGGATTTTTTTTCCTTCAAAATATAAGTCAACTGTCGTACGAGATTAATTTGATCATTTCGATGAAATTGATGTATCAGATTGATTTAAAATTTCAAGTTTCATATAAATTCAATTACTTCAATCAATTATTTATTAACACATGTAAATATTAACTTGTTATCTTTCGATTTATCTTTCGATTAAACCCTCAAGTGCAAACTTAGCTCACCTACGACGATAATATTTTTTCCTTTTATTGAGTTCAAGCCACCTAGGCCAAGATCCTCTATCACATAGGTATAAGAATCCTCTATCAAATACTTCTAAAAAAAAAATGAAACTCTTAACTTCCAAACTTACATTCTATCTTCTTTTCTTTCTCATTTCTTAAATATATATTAATTTGAATGTCAGAATACAAATGTTAAAAAAACTTTTGACCTTTGTCATTGACCAATTTCCATTTCTTGTGCTTTCAAGTTTTTAATCCTTGCAAACAGTTCGGCACCAACAGCCGTTGTCATTTCTTTTGAACTTGGCAAATAAGAGAAAAAAACTTACACATACTTTGGAAAAAAATAAGAATAGAAAAAAAAAAATCAAGTGATTGAGTTAAATTTAATTGATTTATATAATTATTTTTAAAATATGGTATCCATTAAATTTAAAATTTAAATTTTAAATTTTAAAATTTTGTTTATTCTCATATTACAATTTTTTTATATTAAAATAATTAATTTAATCATTGAACTATATAAATGTGTTATTTTTTAATTTAATCATTAAATTAAACTTTTTTTTCTTATCAAATGAAACGTAATTAACCCGCTACTATTGGAGACAAAAGAATGAAATCAGAAAAAGCCAAAAAGTTTGCTCTATCTTCGTATTGAGTTTTGATTAGTACCATTGAAATTGCCAATGCTAATTGCCTGATGCTCCCATATTTATTTTTTTCTTTATTGTTTCCACTTCGTAAGTGCTTAGATCATTGACTAGTAATGGTTCACATCGTAATTTTATATATATATATATATATATATATTATTTTTGTTATTTTAGGTATTTTTATATATTTATGTATGATAAGTTCTTAAATTTGTTAGGATAAATTTTTAATTGTTTTAATAATAATAAAAATGAAAGTAAGTAAGATAATAATTAAAAATATATATTAAAATGCTTAAGATAACAATAATAATAATAGAATAATAATTATTATTTTTCATGCCTAGATGTTTGAAGGAATAAAACATATTCCTAAAAATAATTTCGATTAGATGTTGGAGAATTATTATTAATAAATTTTCATAAAGAAATATATGAGTTTTTTTTTTTAAATTAATTTTTAAAAATCATTAAAATTAAACTTACTTCGAAAATTAACCTAGACGTTTGAGATTGTTAGAAATGTTCGTATTTTTTTAAAAACAAAACCTTAAATATTATTCTTAATTTTCAAAATCTCAAGTTTCTAAAACCCCTAAAATCCAAAATCCAAAAATCTAAAATCCCTTAAATCCAAACCCCTAAAATCCAAAACCTCATAAAATCTGAAATCCCAAACCTTTAACTCTTAAATCAAACCCCTAAAATTCAAACCCTTAAATCAAAACTCCAAACCTCCAATTTTAAAATCGAAACCCTAAAATATTTAAACTCTAAAATCAAAACCCTAAACCTTCCATATCTTAAAATCAAACCCTAAAACCCTCAAAACTTAAATCCAAACTCCTTAAAATCCGAATCTTCAAAATCTTGAAACCCTAACCTTGAAAACCTCTACCCAAGCCTTTACTCAAAACGTCCTTAAAATCCTAAGGACACGTGTGAAAATCTTATTTGAAGTAATTTATTCTCAAATGTCGCCTAGATAATGGAATATTTAGAAAATTTTACTTCGTTAAATCTTTTCATACGATTTCCTAATTCGCATTAGTAATAAGATTAATGAATAAAAAGTATAATAGTAAATTAGAATTTTAAATATAAACAGTCGCACCTAAGCTCTGCCTAGATGTTAGAGAGTCGTGGTGGTCTCATTATACTTAAGAACTCAATTTTAAAATTATATCTCATTCCACATAACATTCATTGGCATACATCCGTCAGCGTGTTATCATTGGTAATTATTTACATTATTTTGTTTTTAATTTTCATTTACTATTTGATGATAAAATATTTTATAATAAAAAAATAATGCTTAAATTTTTTTTTTGTGATATTATAACGCAAAATAAAAATAACATTAAAAAAAAATAATTCTTGGTACTTTGCCTAGATGTTGGAGAGTCACTAACAATTATTTTCTATAAAGATTGTTATTTCATTTTAAGGATTATTGTGTTAAATCTTAAGCGAAAAAAGTTATTTTAAATTCTACCTAGATGTTGAAGAATTTTAAGATAATTCTTTAACTTAAAGATTTTCTTAATATTTCTAAATAAAAATTTTAGCAAAATTTTATTTTTCCAAATGAAAGGAATTAATGTTAAATTTCAAATTAAAATCATTTTTATCCAACATAAAAAATAGCGCATAATTAAATGGTACCAATTTATGGGCGTTGTGGGAGTGCTAATCCTTCCCCACACATAATCGACTCCCGGATTCAATCTATTTTTTTTCGTAGATCAAAATTTATCTTTTTGATAAACTTTAAACCCGTTTTTATATTTTATTAAAAAGATAAATTTTTGAATGATCAATCACACTCTAACAAAAATTAGTGTCTCGATTTTAAAACACCTTACGTCTGACGATCCCAAAACCATTAAGACACCTTTGTCATTGACCAATTTCCATTTCTTGTGCTTTCAAGTTTTTAATCCTTGCAAACAGTTCAGCACCAATAGCCATTGTCATTTCTTTTGAACTTGGCAAATAAGAGAAAAAAACTTACACATACTTTGGAAAAAAATAAGAATAGAAAAAAAAAATCAAGTGATTGAGTTAAATTTAATTGATTTATATAATTATTTTTAAAATATGATATTCGTTAAATTTAAGATTTAAATCTTAAATTTTAAAATTTTTTTTATTCTCATATTGCAATTTTTTTATATTAAAATAATTAATCTAATCATTGAACTACGTACATGTGTTATTTTTTAATTTAATCATTAAATTAAACATTTTTTTCTTATCAAATGAAAAGCAATTAACCCACTACTATTCGAGACAAAAGAATGAAATCAGAAAAAGCCAAAAAGTTTGCTCTATCTTCGTATTGAGTTTTGATTAGTACCATTGAAATTGCCAATGCTAATTGCCTGATGCTCCCATATTTATTTTTTTCTTTATTGTTTCCACTTCGTAAGTGCTTAGATCATTGACTAGTAATGGTTCACATCATAATTTTTTTATATATATTATTATTTTTGTTATTTTAGGTATTTTATATATTTATGTATGATAAATTCTTAAATTTATTAGGATAAATTTTTAATTGTTTTAATAATAATAAAAATGAAAGTAAGTAAGATAATAATTAAAAATATATATTAAAATAAGATAATAATAATAATAATAATAGAATAATTATTATTATTTTTTCTGCTTAGATGTTTGAGGGAATAAAACATATTCTTAAAAAATAATCCGCCTAGATGTTGGAGAATTATTATTAATAAATTTTCATAAAGAAATATATGAGTTTTTTTTTTTAATTAATTTTCAAAAATCATTAAAATCGAATTTGCTTCAAAAATCAACCTAGATGTTGGAGATTTTTAGAGATATTCGTATTTTCTTAAAAACAAAACCTTAAACACTAATTCTTAATTTTCAAAATCTTAGGTTTCTAAAACCCCTAAAATCCAAAATCTCCTAAAATTCAAAATCCTAAAATCCAAAATCTTAAAATCCAAAA